TTCTGTTGAGAAATCAGAAGTAAGCTGTTATTGGTTCTCCTTTGTAACTTACTTTTTGGTTTTTCTGAGCTGATTTCAGGATTATTTCCTTGTCTTTGGTTTTGGTAAGTTCGCTTGTGATATTTTCTTTGGGGGGGTTTACCTTGTTTGAAGCTCAGCTTCTTGAATGCTTGTTTTCCAATTTTTCATGATGTTAGCAAAACTTTTTCCAACAACTCTTCAACAATTTTCTCTATGCATTATATTGTGTCTTCCTGTTCTGGAATTCCACCCACCTATAAATGATTCCTCTTCATCTTACGCTTTCTTTAAAGTTTTTCCTTCTTGTTCTGATTATTCTTCTAGCATACTAGTATTGAGATTTATCTTCATGCTTACCGAATTGGTCATCCATTGATTCAAGTCAACTCTTTGCCCTATTAATGTCCATTTCTGAAATCTAAGTATATATCTTTTAGATTAGTATTTGCAGGTTTTGTATTACTTCAAAATTTTTATTCATTTTGTCTGTTTGTTCTGGTAGTATTTTCCTGAAAATTCCTAACTTTTTTTCTGCATTCTTATTGCTTTCTTCAATCTTTCTCTCAATCTCTTGAAGCTACCTAAATATCTTTTACTTTCTTAGGTAGTTTAATACCTTTTATTCCTCAAAAGTGTTTTCTGGATCTGCATCTTGGTCCCTTGTTTGAACCACACTCTCATTCTTCAAGAAAATGTGATATCATTGTATTTGAATTTAATCGTTGATTGTATCTTGGTATGTTCTTAGACTCTTACCAGTTGCCTCAGGTTGGATGCGATCAGAAAAATGGAAGCATGTGCATTGTTCTCCCATTCAAGCAGCTCAATTTAGTTGCACTGTTGTGTATTGTCTATCAAGTAGTATAGGAGATGGTAATGACTCTTGCCCAGTAGGCAAAGGTGCAGGGAGTACAGTGTGGTTGGACTATATGGGATAAGTTGCTGTCTCCCATCTAGCATGAGGCTAGAAAAGAAAGCACACACACAAGAAACCAACTTAAACAAGCTACAATGAAAAAAGAAAATAAGAAAGGAAAAAAAATACACAGGCAGAAACAAGAAAAATCAAATGTAGCAACTACAAAGAGAAAAGAGGGACAGAATAATAAAGCTATGGTGGTGGCTGGTGGTGGTACTATGCTGTGGTCGGTTCTGACTAATAGCAAACCCGAACAGGGTTTCCGAGGCTGTAAATCTTCACAGGAGCAGACCACATTTTTCTCCTGCAAAGCAGCTGGTAAATTTGAACTGCTGACCTTGAAGTTAGCAAATCAGCTCATAATCCACTATGTTACAAAGAAAAGAAAAATAAGACAGAAAATTTTTAAATCACACAACAAATTAGGGAGAAGGAAGATGAAAAGTGAGTCTAGACAGTAGTAAATAAAAATCAAGAGAGAAAAAAAAAAA